CGCCCGGGCCGGGGAAGATGCTGGCGGCGGGCGTGCTGGCCGGCTTCTCCGCGCTCAGCCTGCTCGCCTACGGCTACCTGTCGTGGGGCGGCGCGGAGCCCGGCTCGCAGCCCCACCTCGTCTTCATCCTGGCCGACGACCAGGGCTTCCGAGACGTGGGCTACCACGGCTCCGAGATCCGCACGCCCGCGCTGGACCGCCTGGCGGCCGAGGGCGTGAAGCTGGAGAACTACTACGTGCAGCCCATGTGCACGCCGTCCCGCAGCCAGCTCATCACCGGCAAGTGAGTGCGGCCCTGGCCCCAGGGGCATCTAGGGGGGGAGCGCTTGTTGGACCCGTTGCCCGGTTGGCTGAGGGCGAGGGCCCCCTTGCCCCGCACGGGGAGTTTGGTGCTCTTCACCCCTGGAGAGTCCTTATGGGGCGCATCTACACGGGCCCTAGGTGGCTGCATGGTGCACATCAGAGATGTGCAGCAATCGCTTGTGTCTGCACGGGATTGCTGGCCACATGGCTATAGCAGCACACTCCCTGGCTATACCGGCGCCACTTCAGCACCGTAGCGATCACACGTGCCTACTACATGATCACTAGCTACGTTGCTGTAGCAGCACGCTCCCTGGTTATAGTGGCACCATAGGGATCACGTGTGTCTATTATGTGATTGCTAGCTATGTCGCTGTAGCAGCACACTACCTGGCTGTATTAGCACCACTTTGCACTGTAGTGACCACGTGTGTCTATATATGATCGCTAGCTACATCACCATAGCAGCACTCTCCCTGGCTATATTGGCGCCACTTCAGCGCCGTAGTAATCACATGTGTCTGCATGTGATCTCTAGCTACATCCCTGTACCAGCATGCTCCCTGGCTATATTGGCGCCACTTTAGCGATGTAGCAATTATGTGTGCCTGCACGTGATCACCAGCTATATTGCCGTAGCAGCACACTGCCTGGTTATATTGGCGCCACTTCAGCAACGTCGCGATCATGTGTCTGCACATGATCGCCAGATATGTCAGCCATACCACTGCACTCCCCGAGTATGGGGAATGTAGTGAGGAAATCTAACCGTGCGCCACACACATGGCGCAGTAACTACCCGTACTGTGCTGCACTTTAGTACTTCCAAAAGCACCGTAGCAACATCATCATATGGTGACATGTAGGTGCACCCAAAGTAGTTTTAAGCACTCATTATATGGCTCAAAGTTACGCTGCTCCAGGGCAGGATGATCTCTGATAAGCACTGCCATCTCCACTTTTGTTCAGGTGCGGCCACTCCCCACGATGTGCCGCACAAGTGGAACGTCTCCAGGATCCCAGGTCTGTCTCTCACCCTGACCCCTAGAGAGGGAGAGAAGCCTGTCTTGGCTCACCACCCCTGCAGTTGCAGCTCCCAGCTACAGCTCCAAGTCCTGCCCCTGTTTCCCAGGCCTCATGGCCTGTCACAGCTGTGCAGGTGGGGTACAGTCAGAGAAGGTTTCTAAACTAAGGGTGTGATTGATCCTAACTCCAAGCTGGCACTAACACCGGCCAGCAGTTGTTTGGCTCACAGTGTAAGTTGTAACACGGCCCTTAAATGTGCTGTTCCAATGCAAGGTGAGCTTCATCAGGTCTGGGCAGTTTAAGCCAATGCAGTACAGTTAAGAAAATCAGGGAAGGGGAAAGGAGTTATGCCACCACCCAGAGAGGTGGTGGAATCGCCATCCTTAGAGACCTGGGTAGACAAAGCCTTGGCTGGGATGAGAGAGTCGGGGATCATCCTGCTTTGAGAAGGGGGTTAGGCTGGATGGCCTCCTGAGGTCCATTCCAGTCCTCATTTCCTGGGAGAACAGGACCTTTCAAAACGAGCAGAGGGTCAGCCTCACTTTTCCAGTGTGAGAAGGATTCAGGGATCAAATTAAGTTATGATGTGCCATGAAACCAATATCAGTGTGAAGTCCTTGGTTCTACATTTCCCCCTTGGCTAAAACTGTCATTTTTTTAAAACTAATGACAGGAATTGCACTCCATTATCCTGTCACCCAGTAAGAGTTCAGCACTGTGAACTACCCATTTTGCAACATTTTAGAAGCAGATTAACATTCATTAATCTAAAGACGAGCTGTAACTTCATGTGTCAGTATTACTGAGGAGTGCTTGCTGAGATCCATGGTGTGCTTTTACAATTAGCAAAGAGGCTGACCCAAAGTAAAATCCCATGTTAGTAAAGCAGAATGAGTTTTTCTTTACCTAACACTATGCAAATCACAACTCTGGTTACACTGAGTCTTGCTTTAATGTGAAGTCTTTCTATGGAATTAGGACTTTTAAGGCGACTCCATTGAATTTCAGCTTGGCATGAGCTAAGAATTCTGCAGGACTTTATGAACTGGGGTATTTCTTTTCTTATAATGTAATTGCCATCCTGCCAACAGTTAAAAACCTATTTCCAGTGCTAATAGAAGAACTTCCACAAATGCATGCCACAAACATGGGACTGAAGATATTCTACCTTGTTCTTCTTGGTAGTTTTAAAACAATCTATTGAGTCACTAATGTATCCAGTGTAAGGGTTAATGCATATTATGTAAGGATGTGAATTTGAAATGCTGTAGCTGTTCCTCAATAACTCCAAGTACGGACAGTTGTAATCTGGTCCACGTAGTTTCCATTCAGCTTAACCTACTTTGACAGGATATTGTTGATATCACTGGGTATAAAAGAAACATTTTTTTTAAAGCAAATATCCCAGTGTCTCACATTACTATCTGATAAAATCAGAGTTGATTCCTGTTCTCAGTTTCCCATTGTCCAGGCTTGCTGGGGAAAGGAGTTCAGCACAGAGAGCTTACTCATTATCTGGAGCAAGAGTTCTCAAACTCGCTCATACGGAAGACTATATAGCAAAAGAAAGATTGTTTTGTAGGCATTCATTCCTAATTCACAATCATATAGCATCTCTGTGGCAAGTAAAGCAACAGATTATATAGGAAATTTGAGGTAGTACACAATGCAATTTTGCTTATCTTTTTTTCAGTGTAGCAGGGGTAATTGGGATCAGAGCCAGCTCTCTGTGGACCACCAGCTACTACTCTACAGACCGCAGTTTCAGAGCCATTGCCTACAGAGGGAATATCATGCTGCAGAACAGTGACTCATTCAGTGGTTTAAAGAATGACATTATTGGGTTCCAAAAGAACCAGTGTGCTGTGCTGTCTTTCTTGAGATCAAGGGATGCTACAGAAGAAATACAGGCATTAGCAGGACTCTGAAAGGAACAAAAACAAAATGCAAGAAGAAAAAAACTGAGTTTACCCTTCTGTTACATATAAAGCATTATATTTGATAACTTTTTATACTAATAAAAACAGAGAAAACTCATGGGCATGTTCTTAGGAACCCTGCTGTTTTCATCAGGCCACTGGGAGAAAATAACTGAAAATGACTGCTGGTTTTTGGAACCTTTTATTGGGTGAAATCTTGAGATGAAATCCCCAAGATTTTCTTAAGCTTCATTCAGACATCTGTTCCCCATTTCTTACAACATAAACTTGGCTTGACCTGTCCCAAACTTTCCAGCTAGGGACAGAAGTTGCATGCAAACTGGTTTAAGTGATCTTGAAACTAGTTTAAACCTATAACAGAACAGAAGTTCAGTGCATATAAACCACTTTCAAAATGGCCGAACCTAGTTTAAGATAACCTGATTGGATGTAGTATCAAACAACTGATTTAAGTTAAACCAGTTTATTGAACTTCTCTCCCAGATCTATCTGACTAATCAACGAGGGGAAAAAATAGAGGGACTACTATAAACCATGTTCATGAAGAAGTGCTAATTGTCATATAATATAAGATTCAGGCAAAGAAACTGCAAATTCTAAATCGTCCCAGTGAGATTTATGTTGACAACAGCAAAATATGTTTATTTATAAATAAAGCATGCTCTTATAATGTTTTCAAAAGGCTTCCCTAATAATGTATTTTTTCTCTTAAATCATGTATATAATCTCCCTTGACATAGGTGACAAAATTATCTTCTCTTGGTAGTTCTCAACTTTGTGTGGAGTGAGGGGTGGTGGTAATCCATAGATTATTTGGACTGCTAGGCTTACCCATGCCATAGCATGGCGTTGTAACTGCTACCCCTGTTTTGTCTGTTTTCTCTTCCCTCTGTTTTATGTCTATTGTCTTTGGGGTTTGATTTTTCCTTTCCTTTCTGAATTTCTAGTTCTTTCCACCATCTTTTTTCCTACTTGCTTATTAACTTATGAGAAACCTGCTGCATTTAGGGAGATAGTCCGGTTCTAAGGTTGGGCTTCATGTGCTTTTAGCAGCTAAACTTGAATCTTGGGAGTAGAGAAGAGAAATTTGAGCCAATGGGCTTGATGCCATGTGTGATCTACTTGTCTAATAGAGGCCAAAACAGGGAGGTAAAGGCAGGCAGCTTTCAGGAAGCAGCTTGCCCTGGGATCTGCAGCTGTGGAATTCTGATTGTGACAGAGAACTGGTTGGATCTAAGGCTCATTTTCAGGCTTGCTGTGCTCTTTTGGTGGGCTCTACATCCTGAGATTTATTTCTCTCTGGGTTTCCATAGCTAATTTAGAAATTTCATATTGATCAAGAATATTTTCTAAGGAAAGGGGTTTATAGGTTTCGGTCTTTCCTCTATTGACTTTCTACTTTCAGGTAGCATTGGGTTGAGCTGAACAGTGGCTCGGTTATACTTAATGAATTATTGACTATAACTTTACAGCAAAGTTGTCCCCTGTCCCCTTTCCCCCCTGCCCATGCACTTATATGAATAAGCATAACATGCAAACAATTCTGGATCCTCCAAACCTAATTCATTATGTAGAAGGCATGGCAGGGCAGCACCTTACAGAATAACTCATTCAGTGAGGCATGAGGTTTCATAAATTATAGCCTACTTTGCCAGATGCTGTGATGAAGCATCTGGCAAAAGTAAGTTGCAGTCTATGAGTTAGTCTATAGACTGCCATCTGCCTTACCTTTTGCCAACCCTCAGACTAACAAATCTAAGCACCCTTTTCTGTTGCATTAGATGGTGTAGTGGGTTTCTTTTGTTTTTACTTTTTCTTTACAAATAAATGGAAGTCTTGAGAATTCTCCTTGAAATAGGAATAATTCAGAACATGGGGCTTGCAGAACTGCAGCTAAGACAGAAGTTTTCTTGCATGGATGTTGATTGTCTTGTTCTGATCAAATGGTTGAGAAGAAATCCGAAGGGTGTATTCATCCCATGTGTTATCATATCAATTTAAAATACCGGAATGC